CCTCTATACATAGGGTATCAGGGCATAGTCCACCACGCGGCCCCGAAATTTCGAAATATTTTTTTTATCATTAGGAAAATATGCTGGTTTCCTCGCGATGTTTAACTTCACCGCCGAGTACGTGATAAGTCAGCAATCAACAATTTCATTCCTACTGCCTCCGGGGATCAAACTCAGGGTGCTAAAGTAAATTGAATTAAAGGCGAGCGCCCGGACACTGAACTATCTGACAACACGTCTATACGATAAAATACAAAACAATTAACAAAATTACCTTTTTAGATTATATTTATATAAGCAAAACGAAATAAAATAGGATATTGCATGAATTCAATTATCTTGTTTGCAATTACGATTATTGGACTTTGCGTCAAGGATGTTTTAATAAAGATGACGCATGTCCAAACTGCGCGGCTTTTAAAAATTGCTCCGCTTTTCATCATTAGTACCTGGAGGACCGAACTTTGCTCGGTTTGTTTTTGTAAATCATGTATTTTGGAAATTACATTCAGATACAAATGACTGAGTAATGAAATATGCATATTATTTTTCGATCTTACCGACCTAATAATAAGAAAATATGAAGTGGTGTTTTTCACAAAAGAAACAACATTAAAAAAGGAAAAAAATTACATTTTCTTTTGCGCCGTTTACCGTCATATTCGAATTATATTTTTCATTCCCTGAAAACAGGGATAAAATGACATTTTCTAAAAATGAAACCTAGTCAGTTCAATTTTTCGCACATACTAAAATTCATGAAAATCGCTGGAGCCGTTTCCGAGATTCCGATTATATATATACAAGAATTGCTCGTTTAAAGGATAAGATAAGACATAGAGTTTGTGACAGATTATATAGAACCTATTACGTATGGTACAGAAAGAGATAGCAGACTTCAACAATCAGCAGAATTACAACAATCGCCGTAATTTCAGTGATTATTATCAACCTTGTATTTATATAATATAACATTTCTGGTTTGCGTTTTTAATGTACGCAACCTTTGTGTCGATCCTGTGATCTTCTTTTATCTGATTTCATTTCTTTATATGATTTATAGAATGATAGACGGATACCGTAGATAGCTACTCGTAACTCTGTGGCCGCTATCTATTATTTCATTCTTAATAATCTTTTTGGTGTGAATGTATCGTTAGCCGGGCCCATTTTATCAAAAGGTGGCAAAGCAACCCTACGGGTGTTGCAAATGTCCATGGGCGGCGGCAATCATTTAATATCAGGTGTACCGCCAGCTCGTTTGCCAGCTTCTTAAATAAAAAAGCCTATCCAAATAAACTAACTTAAGTAACTTACCTAATACCTTCGTTCTTGACATAAGAGCCGCTACGTCATTGACCACGCTCGTTTAATTGAGTACACTGACCTGAGCTCAAATTCTAGTGAAGTCACTAATGGATAACTTTAATTTTAACTTAGCAGACCCTAGTAGCAGTTTATGCTGTTTTTCAAATTGGCAGGCATGCCCTTGGCTGGCTCCATGCCTCACGGAAGACCGGCGTGAAGTGGAAGTTTGTTACTTCCGTGGCGGCGGTAGCTACCAAGCCTTAGCCAATTTGGTTCAAAAATTATAGAGAAAATATACTTTGAAGGATGTGTGAAGTCTCCCAATGCACATGTGGCTTTTGCCCAGAATTGATACGTACCTTTGTTTGAAAAGCCGTTGTCTAGAACTACTACTATTACTTTACTACTTTTAATTTTTGACACGATTCAACCGTCTCTTTCACATCCACCCTTACGCTCACATATATAAGTATCTAAGTAATAATGTTTCACTCTTTCTTTATTAATCTATTTCGAGTTACCATTCTTGGAAATTTAATGCCCCATTTCAATTCCCAGCTCCTGCATGCAACAAAGCAAAGTTAATAAAACCGTAACTTAGGCACATATAATAACGAAATCCTAATTTCATATGACACGAACATAACAAGTTTCTGCGGTGCGCTTTGAGAAACTCGACAAACGTCGATCACGATACCGAGTTTTCGTTATAAAGTTCGGCGTGACTGTTGATTAAATTGTTTTACCTACATAAAGATCCTTATATTTCTGTTTAAAGGCCTATTTGCTCGCATGAAAGTTATTTTTCCGAACTATATGAAAATTCTTGTACTCGTGAATATACATATATACAGCGTGTCGTTACCAACGCGACAATAAATGAACACACATATAGAGGATAACTTTTTAAAATTGTATCAAAAATTTACATTCTTTAAACATCAATATTTACAGAGTTAAAAATAAATTTTCCAAAACAAAGAATTTTAGAACACCCTTACGTATAAAACTGTAACGTAAAGTTCATTTGTAAAGGTCACAAAGCATATGAATGGGTTGAATGAATTTAAAAGAGAAAAAACATACTGTTAGAAGGAGAGGCTTGTAATGCGGCGCTGTGGCGCGAGTTGTATAGGATGTTACATATTTTGTTTCTTTTTTACTTAATTAGTTTGTTTGAAAAATATTTTATTTTAATTATGGATTTTGTTTAACGTTAATATTTTTTTATGATTATTGGCAAGTAGCGGTAGACGTGTGTTCATTTATTGTCGCGATGGTAACGACACGCTGTATACACATATATATGTACATATTTTTTATGTGTAAAGTTGTCAAGCGAGCATGCAGTTCACCTGATGTTAAGTGAATACCGCCGCCAATAGATACCTATAACACCCAATGGCTTGCCGATGCATTGACAACCTGTAAAAAAGTGAGCTCCGGTTACCTCACCTGCCCATTCATGCAACAGCAGGAGCAGTGGCGTGGCCCTACCGCAGTCAGAATATATAATAAAATAAAAAGATAAACATTAATATGTAATGATAAAACAAATAAAATTGCAAAAATAAAATTATTAAATGCATAGGGATGTATACACGGTACATGTACCTAAATTTTTTTTTTGTATTTTATCTCTGTCTGTTTGTCTGTTTGTCTGTTTGTACGGGCTAATCTCTGAAACGGCCGAACCGATTTTGACTGGACTTTCACTGGCAGATAGCTTATGTAATAAGGAGTAACTTCGGCTTAGGCTACTTTTATTTTTTTGAAATTGTATTTATTTCAAATTCCACGCGGACGATGTCGCGGGCACAGCTAGTATAAAATATTACTTTCAATTCGCGCAAGATGTCGTAGTTCGTAAGAAAGTTGCTAGGTGAAAAATTGCGAAGAGACTTACAAAATGTGCGGTATTATGAATCATCTTTCGTTTCTTACACTTTCCCATAGATGTCGCTGACAGAAAGAGGCCATAAAGCCAACGTCGCATTACAGTGATCGATGACGTCAGCCGGTAATTTGTCATTACTACGAGCGATTAATCAATCTTGTGAGGTGACCAAAAACGATTGGATGAGGATTTGGCTCGTTTTAAGAATTAATTACAGATATGGACGATACAGCGTTTGTGTGGTTCCAAATGATGCCTTAAGAGTATGTAGTAAGTATATTGTCGAGCTATTGTCACTTCAGCTCACTAACGCCCGGTTTCTGAAACACTGATCATCGTAGAAAATAACTAATAAGCTGTCAAATGGCTTTTCAAATGTCATTTGAGTTGCCAAAAGGATGGTTAAACTCTTTGAATTGATCGTTCTGATCATGAAGAAGATCATTCTGATCAATTCAGAGAGTTTTACTATCCTTTTGGCAACTCAAATAACATTTGAAAAGTTATTTGACAGCTGATTAGTTTACTTTTGATATGTTGCCTTTGACCTATGTTATTTACTTTTGTTCTACTTTTATTGCCAGGATAGCCCGCTCCATAGGTACATAGATGAAGTTCACTTATTCTAATTAATGTGGGTTAGGTGCGTGCAAGTTTGGTGTGTATAGGTGCTCTTGATGCTGCTTAGGGCTTAGATACTTCAGGAGTACCTAGCTCTGTTTACAATAAGTGCATTAGTTGCACCAGACCACCATGTCTCAATATTTATTATATTTTAGTAAAGCGCAGGGTGCTTGGAGTCAATTGTAATAATATTTTAATGACAGTATACAATACACTGGTAAAAGTAATGGACAAGTTTAGATTTTCGCGAAAACTTGCAAGTACCAAAATTTACCTTAATTTTCAAGCAAACTTTTCACAACAATTCTAGGTGAACCGGAAGTACTCTATAGGTTTTGGGTCGTTGACTTAGAATCATGAAATTCGGTAAAAGCAGCACAAACAAAGGAAAAATTCTGAAAAATAAAAATTTGAAAATTAAGGTAAATTTTGTTATTTACTAGTTTTCGCTAAAATCTAAATTGGCCCGTATCTTTTTGTCGTGTTGACACATGACTTTGATTGTTATATGCTATAAACTTCAAACTACTAGGTTCATCCGTTCCTGAGAAAATCGGCGGTGATTATTTAACAATTTTATTATGGCTGTATAATAGGTAGGTACGGAATCCTCGGCGTAAGAGTTCGTCCTGCACTTGACCGGTTTTTTTATTAATAGATTAATCATCGGCTATATCAGATGTGCATTTTAGTTGAATAATTTTTAATTTACAAAACTTTTTTTATAATAATGTAACCTTTATATTTTAAACACAAATTATAAAACATTATCTTAAAGATATTATCTTGATCATAAATTTTGTTCAAACATTAACGGAGATATTAAAAAAGAAACAGTTCTTAAGACTTGATGAATTAAGTTACTTCGACAAAATAACAAATAAAGAAAAAAACACTGCGAAGTTGTCACGCGGAATTTTGTCTCCCGAACTCATTCGATAATAATGAAATAAGATTGACAACGAACACGTGTGCCGCTTGATGGATAAAAAAAAACGCGTCACGTCATTTTCATTTCGCTGATTTCGTTATCTTATTCCGTTTTTTCATTTCGTAATAAATTACGAAATAAATTTCATTTTGGCGCGTAACATTTGATTGGATTTAATCGATTTTAAAGCGTGACCTTTTATAAGCGACACTTTATTTTACTTTCACAACTGCTTTAGATATGTCGCCGAACATTCTCTTGGTTTTTATTTTGTCACTGGCAAACGCGGTAAGATATGTCCTTCGTACGGAAAAGTTTAAAATATTATATCGATCTTTTATATTATTATCGTTATGTAAGAAGATGGCAAGCGAGCTGGCGGTTCACCCGATGTTAAGCGATAAACGCCGCCCATGGACATTTGCAACGCCGTATGGTTGCAAATACGTTGCAACCTTTTAAAAACGTACGACAGCGAAGACTGCTATGTTGCCCTACCACAGAGTGTATAATAAAAAAAGATCAAATGGTTAGCAATGGTTAAAATAATTTTTGATACATGAACCAACGGCTAACAAGAGATAGATCAGGATTGCCTTGGATAGATAGAGAGACTGACATGAGAGCGTTCAAATTTTGATTTTCACTTGATTTCAGAAACTCCAAAAATGTTTTTGCAAAGTTTTCAGAGTTGCGTTTTTCTTCCATGAGTTTGTTAATATTTCTATTTCAGATCATATATCCAGATTGGCTCCATTTTCCGGGAAGTCCATGCTCAAAAGAGGTACATCGTTACAATAATCATAAACTTTATACAGTAACTAGGAACTATGTATGCATTCTTAAACTATTCTAATTCACGGATCCACGTTTTCGATCGCTACTTCTACAGATACCCAAGTAACAATGACAACTTAAATAACACTGAGTTAAAAAAATAAATTTCTGGTCCTCTCTCGGGGCTTGGGTTCAAATCTCACTTCTGACACATTAAATATAATGAAGGAGATATTAAATAAAGAAGTACTCGACATGATCAATAAACGGCAATACTTATTAAATAATGAACCATAGAGGAGGCAATAACAATATAAAATAGCTTATACTTGTTGGTTTTAATGTTGACTATATATAACTGTTCTTAAAATTTTACATTCGGTCTCATAAGAGTTCCAAAAGCAATCATCAGATGAAAATTGATGAACTACGCTCATCACAGCAGATGTTTCTGGTATTTTAGAAAAATATCTACCCTGGGACACATGGCCCTAAAGACATTCGCTAATTTATTCTTTATATTTCAGTGCTATGAACCTGAATGTTCAGTCTTAGTAAGTTCACTTTCCATATATAACTTTTGTAAACATTTTTATGGAAGTTTCTGCTAATGGCTGCCAATGAACCATAATTATTTGATAGGTTCCACACGCCACCAAGTAATAAAAAGACATTGGATTTAAAACTTAGTAAGCTAAGTTCAGTAGAAACAAACTTTTAAATTTGTGTTTTTACCTTCCCTCCCTTAACAGAGAATCTGTTAAGTGCTTACCTTAACTGAGCATCATTTTCTCTTTGTCTCTATTTTACAGTTTTATCAGATCTTTAGATATTTTCTTTAACTAACAATCGGGGATAATATAAATTCATAGCCCCTTCATTTTATGATATTTGTCTCATGTGGACATTATTTGGATGAAGGAACTTAATTATTACTATTTTTTCAACAATATTTCTGTTTGGGTAGTGTTTTCTTCCACGTTTGAACGTAGGATAAAACACTACCATAGTGCCTATTTAAAATGTAGTTCAACGTAGTGGTAAAATTCCGAAATATCGAAATCGAGAGACATATCGCAGCTGTGTTAAAAAGGCTAAGGTTGGCGATGGTTCAACTAATATTTTCATGTGATCATTTATCTTTGTAGGAACTCAATTTTTTTTTAAATGGTTAAAATTAAAGTGAAGTAAATGTCTTTTATTGTCTTTGTCTTAAATTGTGTCTTTAAATTAGCGGTTGAACTGCACCCATTTTCGATGGAATGTTATCGAAACATTTTTCTACAGTGCATGTTTTAATTTTCAGTGTCAAGGATATGACAGTTTCGCAAAGGTAAACAAACGTATCTCTAAATATACATATGTCTATATTTTGTAAATTGATTTCATTTTGTCACTGGCTAACGCGCTAAGATATGCCCCTCGTGCACTAACATTTTTGACATTATCATTTGTTGACAATTGATAGAATAATATATATATATATATACAGCGTGTCGTTACCATCGCGACAATAAATGAACACGCATATAGGGGATAACTTTTTAAAGTTGTATTAAACATTTAAATTCTTTAAACATCAATATTTACAGAGTTATTAAATTTTCCAAAACAAAGAATTTTAAAACACCCTTACCTATAAAAGCGTAACGTAAAGTTCATTTGTAAAGGTCACAAAGCATATGAATGCGTTGAATGAATTTAAAAGAGACAAAACATACTGTTAGAGAGGCTTGTAATACGACCCTGTGACGCGAGTTGTATAGGATGTTACAAATTTTGTTTCTTTTTTAGTTAATTAGTTTGTTTGAAAAATATTTTTTTAATTTATGGATTTTGTTTAACGTTAATATTTTTTTTATTGGCAAGTAGCGTTAGACGTGTGTTCATTTACTGTCGCGATGGTAAAGACACGCTGTATATATGTATATATATATATAGCTCATATATAGCATAAAGTCAGATTTTTATAGTGAGAAGTTAACGTCTGCTAAAATAAGTTTTTTATAAAGTAAAAAAGTTAAAGTAACAGCCTATACATGTCCCACTGCTGGGCAAAGGCCTCCTCTATACAGAGGGTATCAGGGCATAGTCCACCACGCGGCCCCACTGCGGATTGGCGGACTTCACATATCTTCGAAATATATATATATTTTTTTGTTATTATTTCGAAAATATGCAGGTTTCCTCACGATGTTTTCCTTCACCGCGGAGCACGTGATAAGTCAGCACTTAAAGTTAAAAACTTCATTGGTGCCGGCACCGGGGATCGAACTCAAGGCGAGCGCCCGGACACTGAGCTATCATGCTAGAATTACTTTGACGGATGATACAGGCTGATGAGAATGGTTACATTAAGATTTTGTTTTTTCACATTATAATTATGTAATGGTAGATAGGTAGCTCTAAAACGTCCCTCATAGCCAAATTAATATTTAGAATAAGTGTTGAAAAAAATGTTATCATGAAATTTTATTTAACTATTGTGCTGGCGCTCCATTTTAATGTACTCGAGCAATCAGAAATGGGTATTTGTCCTTTGCTTTATCACGTGTGGAAACAATAGGAACACAACAAAATGGGAATGTTCCAGAAGATAAGCATAGAAGATTCTGATATATTTGAAACTGATACAAAAACTAGTATTGGGGTTCCACATAAATTATAAAAGTTGTCTATACTAAGGAGGCTCTGGTCCTGCTGGGAATATGTGGATAGGCCGGTTATATTTCCACGCGGGAATAATTGAATTTTATAGTCTGAAATAATAATGGTGACGTAATTATTGCGTTCGAGGGATTTAGTATGCCAATTTGAAAAGCGACAGTCAAAATATTATATCTGGCATAACTACAATATCATCAGCTATGCCCACACCTTTGTTTCATTTCATTAAAATTAATGTTAGCAATCTAAGTTTAAGGTCAGTAGCGATTACTGAGATTAAACATAGATTGTTCGCGTGTTACTAAATGAACTGTGTAGATCGATACAAAAAATTTACGTCAGTAATTAAAACTAAAAATATATAATAGTTTCATTATTAAATTGTAATCGCGTAAATACAAGAAATTATTGTTCAAGTGTCATAGATGTAAAGGGAGCAGCTGGCTAGTATTTTAAAATGTAATGGAGACTGAATTAAAAATATAAATGACCTGCCATTAAATACTGTCCCAATGCATATAATAAGCCTAATCTCTTAAATTTTAGTGCATCAGCCACCAATGTAATGCAAAGGTAAGTCCGGAGTTGTATTATTTCGAAATAATTTTTGAAGTATACTTTATACCAGTAGATCACATTGACATCAAGGTCTCGCTAGGACGAGGATCCGAGTCGTTTAGAGGATATACAAGTCTGATCAAAACTACGGTGAAATTTTTTATTATGTGCAAAGTCGCAAGTTTATCTTTGATCAACTTGATACTTTGATTCCACACAACGTACACCCGCATTCCGGGGCGGTTCTCACCGCTCCCAGCCACCGATTAGCTAATTGCACAGTCGACGGCCATCGGGGTTTCGGTCCGAACCGCAACCTCGATGGCCCTTAGATGACCATACTTAAACGCACGCATGAGCACATGCGTGGCCCTACCGACAGCGGAGGGCCCAAACCCGTGGGTTCTAGCTAGCCCACCGGTTCTGCGTCAGATGAAGCTTTAATAGTCTCGGGACTGAAAGCAAAAACATCAGTTAATACAAGATACAAGACGTTGATTCCACGACTGGTGCTTCCTCTTCATCTTCGGAGAGCCAGAAATCCCATTGTGCTCATTCCGCGAAGTGTTAGGTGATGTGGACATACAAAAATGATTTTTGTTGCCAAAAACTCACAAATTACAGGCGGAATGTTTTTTTTTATGGAGAAAAGGGGCAAACGAGCAGGAGACTCACCTGATGGTAAGTGATTAGCGCCGCCCATGAACACCTGCAACACCCGAGGGCTCACAAATGCGTTGCCGGCCTTTTAAGAAACAGTACGCTCTCTTTTTGAAGGTTCCCAGGTCGTAACGGTTCGGAAAGACCGCCGGCGGCAGTTGGTTCCACAGAGTGGTTGTGCGAGGCAAGAAATGCCTTAAAAATCGCGCTGTTGTGCAACGTTGGACATCGAGGTGGTGTAGATGAAATTTTTGGTTCTGGCGCGATGTCCGATAGTGGAATTCAGCCGCCCGGATCAATTCAAACAATTCCTCAGACCACTCCCCGTGATAAATGCGGTAGAAGATGCAGAGTGATCCAACATCTCTACGCAGAGCCAGAGGATCAAGCCGATCGGAAAGACTTTGATCATGATATGGCGCGTTGTCGTGGCGAGGCAGAAAGACATTGGCCCATTTTTATTCGTCATTTTCAACGTATATCGTCTCACGAACATTCTAAAAAGCCCATGTAATATTCGGAGTTTACACCTTGGAACGTACTCTGTTAATATTGGGAATTTGCAGTCCCCTTGGAAGGTACTCGGACCTCACTATGCTTTAACTATGAAAAAAAAAAAACAATGGGCATGTCCTTCATATTGGAATATGACTTAAAAGCCTTCTAGGGCGAGGAAAGTCAGGCAATTTCATAGCCCATATTTCTGCATCGGTTATAATTTTGGTGAAGTCAAAATCTGTTTTAAGACGTTTCTCCAAACTCCATGCAAATTGATATACGAATTTCCTACTGATCTGAATTCAAGTTAGGGAACAAATTTCGCATTGAGTTATCTCATTTACAAATCATTGGTCAAAGTGCTCTACACGGACCTGAGATGTTCAGAATTAACGAGAAGTTCAGTTTCTTGGCTTATCACCTTTATCTCGTCATATAGCATTTCTACAAGCCAGACAAAAGCTTACATTTCGTGCTATTGACAAAGAAAAAGACAAGTAGAAATAAGTTTATGTTAATTTCTTATAAATAATGTATGACAAAGTCATCTATTGACATGGATAGCGAAGTAATCTGTTCTAAAAATGAGATACCTTTCATTAATAAATATTTATTTCATAATCATCAACACTTTTTCAGCCTGTTTGAGTCCACTGCTGAACATAGGCCCCATAGACTTCCACGAAGTACGATCATGAGCTAAGGTAGATCCTGCCATAGCTCAGAAGATTAGAAAGCTGAAGTGGCGATGGGCCAGTCAAATAGCTCGTAGAACCGATAACCGATGGGGAAGTAAGGTTCTTGGGTGGCAGCCTCGAACTGGCCATCGCAGTGTAGGACGACCCCCCACTAGATAGAGTGACGACCTGTGTAAATACTTATTTAACATTTTTATCAAAATAATAAACAATCTTATTTATTGCAAAGTGATTTTAAAATTCTTTATCATTTCAGACTATAGGTAATTCATCGACAGCACAGGTTTGCACCTGCTATAATAATACATATTCATCCAAAATAATACACTATATTAAAACCAGAAGAAAGTCCACTTCTGTGCGCTCGGTTTAAACTTGCTTAAAACATTGTTAAGTAACTAATATGAAAATCATTCCATAATTCATATAAGTCAGTTGGTCAGGTGCGGCACACTGTTTAACGAAATCCTCATGAATATATTGTTCAAGAACGAAATTAAATTATGAAATATTCAAGAAATCACCGTTCGCGTAACAATCACACTTTTCGTAACTTTAGGAGTGTGAGTTGAGTTTCGTGACTTTAGGAGTCCTAAAGTCAAGTGTGCGTAAAGAAGTTCTACTTAAAAAAATGTAACAATTAAAATGCTGTAACCTACTTTTTTGTCTTTGTCAAGTTTTTTTGGAATTCGCTTTGGATCGAGACTGCTGCGAGGCTTTACCAAGTAGAAGAAGTAGAAGAAGAAGATATTATACTCACTGAATCCTTTCTCAAACACCACACAACCTCTCAGCATGATCTCACACTTCCAGCATTTAGTCTCACTCCTTCATCCATCCAACACAGTGCAGTGGTCTCAAACCAAATTATCTTCTTTTAAAAACCTACTATGTACAGTTGGTATCAATCAATCAATCAGCCTTTTGCAGTCTACTGCAGGACTGGGCTTTTCCAAGGGCACGCCACAGTGCATGATCTTTCGCTTTCTTCATCTAGCCACCAGCGACCTTTCTCAGGTCATCGGTCCACCTGGCAGGGGGACGAATTTGGTTTATACTAATACTTTTAGTTGATTATTCAACTAAACTGGTACGGATAAGTCATTAAACTGGTATGGTTCATCATCATCAGCTGAGTTATAATATAAGCTTAATTTGAATTCACAGTGTTTTGACGACAACTGTACTGCAACTGTAAGTTTTTTTTGTATGAAATTTAACACGACTCAGAGTAATTCTATTTAAATAATATATAATTCTTAAGTAACAAATGCAAGTATCTTAAGTAAAAGGATATTAGTGGTCTTCTGTTCTTAATTCTGCCTATTTCATCATCACAATCTGTAAATTCAACGAATGAGTGGTCCTGATATATGCATATAACTTTTAATTTTATAATTGAAGCAGCTACTGGCTTCATGTGCTTCAGAAAATGCTGTGTTTTTTTCTGTAAAAGTTGGCAGTGTAGATGACATCAAATTAAATACTTGCTTCGAACACGTACGTCAAAATCTACATCCAGTTCAAGGTTAGAACTTTCCAGAAAGGACCGGCAAGAAATTCTGTGGTCAAATATTCGTCATCATCAGGATAATCAACTTGACAGCCCTTTTTATTGTTGGACATAGGCCTCATATATATTCATTCTAATTTTATTTAATTAAGTGGGTTATGGTTATTATAATAACCATAAACCACTAACCCCATAGGACAGGCATTGCCTAGTGTAATTAAATGTAATTAGGTTTCTTCTGAATAAAGTTTATTGCATTATTACTGTAACTACTATAAGATAAGGAACGATGTAGTGATACTTCTTTTAATTGAAATGAAACAACCTCATAATATTTGTTTCAGTGTGAGGGGATGGCGTGCACGACTTACGTACTTTTTTTTTTTGCATTTATTGTTTTTTTTAATTTATATTTTTTTACGAATTGGGCATCAGCGAGTCGCTTATCTGAGGATTTTTTTTATTTTAGATTTTTTAAATTTAACGTAAACCAACCTGCACTACTTTGCGACATCCTAATATTTCAAATATTCTAGTGGATATAAACCTCCACTAGAACGGAAAGAATATGAGTTTTTATATAACTGTAGTTAACAAACCTTCATCACTAACTAGTTCACAATTAAATATGAATATGGTCAATAATAAATTAAAATTTGCAGTATTTTCATATTAATCGAGACCAACTTTGTGTAGACCAAACACATTAAGACGGGAATATTTGAGTCGATACATTGATTTCACGATTATACTGTTTTATAACATTCGATGTATAGAAGGTATAATAAAGTAAAGTAACAGCCTATAGTCCCACAGCTGGGCAAAGGCGGAGGCCTACAGAGGAGTCTGTACAGAGTTAATTAGGGCATAGTCCACCACGCAGCCCCACTGCGGATTGTCTTCGAAATATTTTGTTTTGTTGTTATTTCGAAAATTTGCAGGTTTCCTTTTTATCTTTCCTTTACCGCTGAGCACGTGAGTCAGCATTTAAAATTAACTATTTCATTGGTGCCGACACCGGGGATCAAACGCGGGTTGCTCGAGTATATTGAAATCAAGGCGAGCGCCCGGACACTGAGCTATCATGGCTGTTGATGAGAGGTAGGGTCAGAGGTATAACTATAATGTAAACATTAACTATAATGATACGGATAAGTTTGGTATAAACATCGGCTGTATTTAAGAATTTATAATTTATTATAAATGCTTGATGTTTTATTCACAGTGTATGGGCGATAACTGTACTTCAGCTGTAAGTTTTTTGTTATGAACTTTAACAAGACTTTCATTTAAATTCTGTTTGAATAATATAAAACTCTTGACTAACGAACGTAGTGGTCTTCCGTTCTTAATTCTGCTTATTTCATTTATAACAATTTGTAAAGTTTGGTCAATTAATGAGATCAGTAAGAAGAGTTTAGACAGCTTTTCGGATAACTCTGCCATCAGATAATATGTAAATAAATTTAAATTTTTTATAGGGCTAATCTCTGCACTTAAGATTAAACATTAAAATTTGTAGAAAAGGTGCGAAAAGATTGTCTCGATGTGGGATTCGAACCCACGTAACGGCATTCGCGGCCTGACGCTTTAGCCACTAAGCTAAACGGCTGATTGCCACACCGACAAAGATATTTGAATTTGACTTTAAACACTATCAAAACACTTCACACTATCACTTCATTATTATATCAAGTTCACGACGTTTATGGTGATCCTTGTACTCGTAACGGACGAAGGCGGGTCATGTTCTATTCTAAGGTCATCCTTTTAGTTATTAAACGGTTTTATTTAGCTCTACACGTACGGAATTTAATTGTTTATTTGGGTCAAAATTAGAAATTGAAATTTAAGCACCTTCCAGTTGTCAGATTGATCTGAAATTTGGTACACACATTTAATTTAGATGACAATACAATATTGTAGTTTTCAGTGCACAAAAAAAAAAAAACAGAAAATAAAACCGTTTAACTTAAAAGTTTTTAAACGGTTTTATTTTTTCGACCAGATCTATGCAGAATGCGCTTACAGTAGCTTTTGAAGTGATGGCCTCTTTCAGCCTATAATTAATATTTTTAACTATGGGATCCCCAGTAGTCAGACATAGGCCGAGTAACTATATAATACTCGTATCGAATTCGAGCTTGCTTCGTGCGTCAAAAGTTACAACAAGTTCAAGGGTAGAACTTTCCAGAGGAGGACTGACAAGAAACTTTGTGGTCAAATATTCATCATCATCATAATCAATTTTTCAGCTCGTTTTTTTGGTTACTTGAACATAATCTTCTATTCTATTTATTAATTCTATTTTAATTATTTTTATAATTACATCTTTAAGATAAGAGCTACTTCTTTTTTATATAAATTGAAATCAGCTTATGATATTTGTTTCAGTGTGAGGGAGTGGCGTGCAAGTCTTATGTATTTTTTGCCTATTTATTCTTTTTTAATTTATTTATTTGTCGAATTGGGCACTTGTGTGCCGCGCATCTTATGAAGAATAAAAAAAAAAACAGTCATGTTGTGAACAAAGTCAATCCATCGACTAATTTTTAAGTTTAGGGGGTCACAAGTTTTTTGTATAAAAATATGCATATCCTTCACCACTGAGAATGTAATAATCCAGCACTTAAATTTTTAATTGGATATTTCTGGGAGTGGGAAAGATCCATAAAGGCTTTTTCCGATACAACAGTGGTAGCCATTTATTTTATTGTTAAGTAATGAAGTAACTAAACATTTGTTATATTTTGCAGTCTATGGGAGTCACATCCACGGTGGAGGTAACGTATTTACTTATTGTTTTATATGGATGTTAATGGGTGAAATATACCACTCGTAACAGATAGCAACATGCAAGACACTCTTCGGCTTTTTTAAACTATTGTTACCAATTTTTGATGCAAAGAAAGACATAAAACCGGCCAAGTGCCAGTCGAACGTGCGAGTCGGATCTATAAAAACGTCAAAAAATCATGTCCGTTGTATGGCAGTCCTTTAAAATTTTTTTTTATTTTATTCTGTTTTTTTTTGTATTTGTTGTTATAGCGGCAACAAAAATACATCATCTATGAAAATTTTAACTGTCTAACTATCACGGTTCATGAAATACAGCCTGGTGACAGACGGACAGACAGATAGACGTACAGACAGCGGAGTCTTAGTAATACTAGTACTAATACTTAGTAAGTATACCCTTTTTACCCTTTGGGGACGAAACCCTAAAAATGGCAAAGTTTATCTTTGGATTTCATCTCGAATGTTTTTCTTTGAATCATATTTTATTCTCTTTGAATCAAAGAAATGTTCTAGTTTTGCAGAGAACCGAGAAAAGTAAATATGAAATATTTCCAATCTGATTGAATTCAATTTTTTCAGTACTTATCATATGGCTCTTGTCGTACTCATTACAGTGTTCTGGAAACAAAAGTAGAGGAGTTGTAAGTACATAACTCAAATTTATTAGTAGTACACAGTCATTTTGCAATTTTCATTTTTTTTTAAATTCAAATTACCTAGCCGTGATTTATAACACAAAAATTATGTTGTGTTATACGACTCCGTCTAACTACTAGTTTTAAAGTTTATTTAAACATTAATTCAAATAAAACTTATACAATTTCTAATTATGTATTCATCAAAAGTGTACTCTCTATAAGTGCTCAATCTGTTGTTTCAATATACTGTAGCACGCGATGGCTTCTTTGCCGTTGATACATCAATGTTGGATTTTGAATCTGATACAGTGTATCTAGCAATTTCATCCTCTTTCCTGATGTACCCGTGAATAGCAAAATCTCGGTCTTGGTTTACGCCAAATGTGTACTGACTGATAAATGTGAACATGTAGCGTTCTTATCCTTGGACGACTCCACCGGTAAAAGAGGAGCCAGGAGGAGGCAAAATTGGCATCCCTTTTTGTCTGTAATTTACGTCTAGAATTCTAGAACAAAACGTCATACAACGTTCACTATCAGACTAATCGGGCAGTTTTTACCGGGACAGGTTATGTGCTTACCCAAAGCCCAAGTCCGATCGCTGTTGGATTAAATACACATGTTGTATCGGAGGGGATGCACAATGCATATTTTAATCACCCCCCTCCCCCCCATATTGGACAAAGCTCAGCTGATCCCTACATATTCGATATTGACCTATTTAAAAATATATTCTTAAATAATGGTAAGTAACATCATCTATAAGCCTAATGTGTTTATTTATTTATTTATACTTCATTGTTACACCTTAGTCTAAAGGCTACAATGGGCGGACTTAATGCCTAGTGGCATTCTCTACCAGTCAACCCTTGTCATGGTGAGAATAGATGGCAGGTGCTAAAACTAAAGTAAATAAGAGTAGGAAAATATATACATAAAAATCAAATTAAATATAATGTGTGGATGTTCTTTCAGTGTAATGGCCCTAAATGTGTTTCTTCAGTAAGTATCATTTTTTATATTAAATAGTTTAAAGTGGGAGCAATATTTGTAAACCCAACCAGCCCTATTGAAACAGGTACCCACTAAAACCCACGTTGCACCTGTTTCTGTCGTATCAGCCGTGGACACGGGAACACGAAGAAGCAACCTTCCGCGACCCCGGCACGACTATGGCCTTTTTAGGCCCCCTCTTCGCGGGTGCTAGGCCACCCAGTCCGGCTAAATGGTGGTGTGTCGGTGCAACCAGCATAGCACCCTTCACGAAAAACCTCGCAGCCTTGCCCATTATGTACGGCCACCCCCTTTTAGGTCACACTGGCTTCGACACGCCGTGCGAACAGTTACTTTTTGCGGACGATTCTCGACTTTTATATACTTGAAAATCCGGCTGCGATTCTCCCGCCTCACAAATACGCTTAGCTAGCCAGAACATGAGGTTAACCGCTTCCGTTGGAAACCTAACACTATGTAGGGATGTAAGTGAAACACCGTTTTAACTTTCAATGTATGTCACTATTTCTGCAGTATACATTTAACAATTAATATAAGGGTAAGCGACACCAGTAAGTACGTGACCATCCGGGAGGATATCCGTAAAGCAAGTGACTGCAACAGGCGAACATGTGCCTCTTCGCTCGTATAGATGACGTCATAACCGGTGTATAGTGTTGCCAGCGACAACAGGGATAACATTCGACGGATATATTGTCATTTCGCGCTCACATAAATAATTTAATGAATGAAGTTTCATTCGCTTCAGGCGGAGATTATTATCTTTCTACCAGTACGTACGGCGCATAATGTAGTTGCTTAGGTGTATTCCGTGATGTTTACGAAACACATTTGAAGAAACTTCACGTTAAGGGAACTGTTTGTTAAGGGATTGTATAATAATGGTATTTGCAACGATTAAATTAAATTTAAACACGACCCCTTCTTTTGCCTTTGCTCTATGCCATCAGCATTAACATTGTTCATTGAAATTTATTACTGAGCAAATTCTCCACAGTGCGACGGGGATAGCTGCATAGCAGAGGTAGGTGACGTTGTGTATTGACTTTTACTTAAAGTGTAGTAAAGTAACAGCCTATGCATGTCCCATTGCTGGACAAAGGCAGAGGCCTGTGTCCAGAGGCCTTACGGAAGGTATGTAAGATATCAGAAGTACCGTTTTCCTAACATAATTATGATCAATTTTCCCTCTTAATTTTGCCTTTCAGTGCATTGGGGAAGAATGCGTGGCAGAGGTGCGTTTTCAAATAAACATCCTGTTTTACTTTTAACCAGCTACAGTAAACGTTTTGATTTGTTCTTCGAGAATCTTTCGTCTTCCGTTCCAAATTACATTAATAAGCAGATCAAGGTAAAAAGACAAAAATATACAGAATCATTTACAAATGTACACATGAACTGTTGCATTTGTTTCGGCGCTGGGGTCGTGGGTTTGATACTCACGCTGGGAGTGTACTTGTGTGGAGCACTGATAATTGTTCCGGATCTGGGCGTTTATTCCCAAGAGACATCTGACGCTAAACAGGCGGCTGGTCAAATAGAAATTGACCACATGGCTGTTTTAGATATCGATTGGTGGCTGTGAGTTGAAATAAGGTGAAAATGTTCTCCCTAAATAACCACTATAACCTTAACTTAAAATATTGCAGTGCACCGGACAACGTTGTTGGAAAAAAAATATTCATTCAACATTCGGGTAATATTTCAACTTCTATATTTAAACCTCGAAAAAATATAAATATGAAAACGAAATCATTGTTTTATTCGTTTCAAAAACACACTTTATATTTATGAAGTGCCTGTGAGTGTCTCGTCGTATGTCAAATCAAAGTTCTGAAGAAAATTTATTGTCAAAAGTAAATTAATAGGATTTTAATAACAAGTAAATAATAACGTGTTATAAATAAATATTTAAATGCTTTGTGCAACACAAGACAGAGCCCGGTACTGGAAAAAAAAGTAAAAAGTAAACTAACGCATCATACAGAAAAGGGTAATGAGGGAGAGGCATAGTCCACCAGGCGACCCCATTGCGGATTGGCGGACTTCACATATTTTCGAAATATTTTTTTATTATTATTTCGAAAATATGCGGGTTTCCCCACGATGTTTTCCTTCACCGCCGAGCACGTGATAATTAAGCACTTAAAATTAACAATTTCATTGGTGCTGGCACGGGGGATCAAACTCAGGTTCCTGGAGTAAATATACACCTTGAAATGAAATAAAAAAATCTCACGCAAAATTCCAGAAAGGTCAAAGAAAGTGACTGTTTGCGATTCAATTATGCCCAGATTGAGGAGAGTTATACACAACCGAGTAGTTTACGTCCTAGGCCTTACGCCGCGGCTGGTGGCAAGAGGGCTGGTTCTATTCTCGCTTAAAGTTTAAGCGTAAATATTCAGCGAGTAATTGCTGCTAGCGTTCTTGGTACCATGCCGCGTGGATTAGGTTTGTTACATAATCACTACATAGTATAAAACAAAGTCGTCCCGCTGTCTGTTGTCCCTATGTATGCTTAGATCTTTAAAAATACGCAACGGACCTTGATGCGGTTTTTTACTAGATGAAATGATTCAAGAGGAAGTTTTATATGTATGATTGCTAACGTGCGAAGCCGGGGCGGGTCGCCAGTATATTTTATATAGACTTAATGTCGTAAATGTTGGATAAATAAATTGTATCTAATAAAGTTAAAAAAAAAAACAAGTAGATAAACTTCTTTCCGTGTGTTACCGGGAAAGGCGAATAGTTTTGCCTGATGTGTTTTGTAAAAGGTCATTTGTATATAAATGTATTAATGAAATTGAAATATATTAAAATAAACATTATATAGAAATTATCAGAAATGAAAATGAAAGTCAGTATAAATAATTCCGCACAAATTACACATTTGAAATAAACTGACCATTGATAGTGCGAATTATCAATAATGTTACATTAATTTGATTCATTGGAGTATTCAGTTTTATTAAGTACATTTTATTGTGCATTGTAAATCTAAATGCAGTTTATTAAATTGCTTCTGTTATACACAATAATTGTGATAAATCGGTCGCTTATTGTATGTTAATATTGATATATTATAGTTGTTTTAATGTGACTAGTATTAAAGACTGTAGGTTGGTCGGCCAAAATAAAATAGTGAGGATAGCTTAAACAACTTTATATATTAATTAGACTACTTCCTACTTATTAGGACAGAGTAACGTCCTATACAAAGGACAAAGTGTTCTACCCTATCACTGAAACATTATGCGCTTATATACAAAAATATAATGAGTCATCACAACAACATTACAAATCAATGCACTTATTAACAGCACAGTTAATAAGATTGACCTATTAAATTATAAATTATTATTAAGCATGGTTTATTATATAATATTCTACCAGATATGGTTCAATGTTATTAAGTATAATTGTTATTGCTCGTATATTAAGCAGTGTTGCCAGTGGATTGTAACACTCGGCCATCCTGCTGCAGCCGTGTCCCACGGCGATCTTTCTGGCTTTCAGTATTGACATCGGTATCCTGAAAGATAAATAACACGGCAGTCACTGTGTAGAGACAGAATATACCTTGCTTTTTATTTACATTATATATATTTGTAAATTGTTTATATAGTATATGATTTAGTTATTTATTTATTCTTTATTGAAAACACCTCAAAAGGGTTACAAAGGGCGGACTTAATGCCTATTGGCATTCTCTACCAGTCAACCCGGGGCGTGAGGAGAAATCGTGGTAGGTGCAATAAATAAAATTGCATAATAAATTTATGTGTCTTAAATAATAATATATGCATTACACATCATATAACTCCAGAATATACAAGATATTATATAAAACTATTTTATGTAACACACCATACACAATACAAATATGTTTATATATATATATATATATATGATCTGTTCTTTGATATTATAACACCCTCGATCCAGGCTTGAACACACAGCTGCCCATAAATTTCATTATTGCAGTAATAACTTTCATTATTTTTTCTACGTATCACACAGCCGTCCCATTACATGTAGTAAAGATCACACAGTTCTATAATTTGTGCATTAGTGATCAAGTCACTTAGCCGCCCTGTCACATTTTTGATCACACAGTAAGTTTTCCCTCTTGCTACGGACTTCATCACACAGCAGTCCATTCACAATGATATAAGATCACATAGTTTATTTTTCCTTTACATTGCGTGGGTAGAGGATCTATAGTAAAAATCGATGGATCTCGTTTAAGGGGCAGCATTAGTATCTCTGCTCTAGCTATCAACCTACCCGCATTCCACATAATGTCGTCATTACCTACATTAACTATTTTAAGATAACTATTTTTTGAATTAATGATAACTGACGGTATTAAGTAAGCTATGAGACATACTGTGCGCGACAAGAATGTGTGGTTTTCATGGTTGTTTTCGTCATAATCTATATAAACTTCAACATATTCACTATTTTGCGCGGGTATCGTTACACTATATTTAAAAAAAAATAGGGTACTTAGAAATAAAGTCTGCTGATTGCAAATCTAAAGTTGCTAATATATTATGTACAGCGTCACTCCGAACAAATTTTATGGATGAAGCTGTAGTGACCAAGCTAACACCTTTATTAGTAATCATCGTCTGCCCAATGATTAAGTCAACATCTGCGATTATGGAATTGGTTAATTCAACTATCCCATCCAATATAAGGTTATCTATTAATACGGTAATGAAGCATGAACCTAGTGAATTCACACGACCCCCACCAAAACCTGTCATACTAGTGGTGCTAGGCTGAATCATCAGCTGTAAATATTTAGCTTTCGAAATAGAATGTTTAGTCTACTTCCAGTATCTATATAAGCTATTAACTCGCTCCCTTTTACAATTACTTTCCTTTTAAGCATATTCGGAAATATATCATAACTAATGCTTAGAACGTTACCAACCTTTTGCGTATGTGGTTCCTGTGGTCCCGGTGCAAACCAGCACGTAGCAGCCTTATGACCAATACGCCGACATGTATCGCAGCTGTTGCAACATGCGGCCACGCGCCTCGTTCCCTTGACGGCGACACGTAGCACAGCTTTGATTGGAGTTGATGTTGGGTTGATGTTTCACTGGCCACATTACCAGTTCCTCTTCTCCATTCGCATCTTTTACATTATGCTGTTGTTTTCAGGTCGGAATTCGTAGATAATCTCCGAAATCTCCACATCACTTGTTTCCCAGGTTGAACGACGGCTTTCAGAGGCGAGGAAAAATAATTCTCGATGTACCCCCGTCGTGGTTAGGCGAATTTCCTCCGCAGAATTCGTGGATTTTGGGTGTTTTCGCTTAAGATATTTTGGAACTGTATCCCACTTCTGAGATATTAAAGACTTTAGGTTGGTCGGCCAAAATAAAATAGTGAGGATAGTTTAAACAACTTTATATATTAATTAGACTACTTCCTACTTATTAGGACAGAGTAACGTCCTATACAAAGGACAAAGTGTTCTACCCTATCACTGAAACATTATGCGCTTATATACAAAAATATAATGAGTCATCACAACAACATTACAAATCAATGCACTTATTAACAGCACAGTTAATAAGATTGACCTATTAAATTATAAATTATTATTAAGCATGGTTTATTATATAATATTCTACCAGATATGGTTCAATGTTATTAAGTATAATTGTTATTGCTCGTATATTAAGCAGTGTTGCCAGTGGATTGTAACACTAGTAAAGTATTACTTATGTTAGGTATATTACGAGTATGTATGTAGAAAAGGGCGGATCCAGCTTGGATGCCAGAGGTCACATAGTCGTCGTCAAGTCACAAGAAGTTATAATTTTTATAATCAAATATAATATACAAGTAAAAAGTAGGTGTTTTATTGATAACATGTTTCGGGAGAAGACCTACCTTTACCTATATTTAAATAAGAAAATCTATTTTTCTTGTACATCCTCTCCCGAAACGCGTTATTACTTCATACATCTTAATGGGTACGTTTTTATGGACGTGGAGAAGTGCCAAGTGCCAATCCGGTTAGACGTTCTTCAACCATTGAAGCTCTTAGCCAGGATTTTATTCTTCGTAAAGTAGAGAAAGACCTTTCCGCTGTCGCTACACTAAAAGTTAGTGCAGCCATAATACATAAAAAAGTTCTTATATTAGGATACATCTCGATATCGCAATTTAAAATAAGGTCAGAAATCGACTGTGGTATGTTCTGACTCCGCTGCCACTTCACCATCAACAGCCGATATTCATTTACAACGACAGACACTGGGGTATTATCTAGTAGCAATGTATAATGGCTGTTTCATCGAACAAAACTGAAAAAAAAATTAGCTTCCTGTAAATTTTGTAAAATTTTCCTGAATGATTTCTGCGCAAACGTCTATGAACTCATTTTGTACAGTCTTGCTGATGTACGTGGTGTTGGACTTTGAAGATTCTAAATGTTACAATGCGGTTTCGCCAGAATCTATACGGAATTTTAAAAGGGCTCTAAAATTACCCGCTACCACGCTGTCATAGCTCAACAATTTACCATTGTCACGATGGCCACGTAACAATATATTTTGATGGCCACAAAATATTATAGTTTTTACGATTGATCGCAAACGTTCTCTATTTGCATTTATTTGTGTCAGCCTTTGACTAATTACTTGGTTCATTATATTAGTTTCGGTTTTGTGAAAAGTCGACGAAAAGTTCTTTCCTGCTTCGACAGCTAATTCGTGGTATTTGGTTCGCTGGTGTGTTAGCAAAACACCATTTTCATCAAGCAAATTATCTAAAGCTTTTAACGGTTCTTTTACGAGTTGATATAATGGTGTTTTTGTCTGTATACCACCTCCAGAAGCTACAGCAAATAAAGCACAGTACTTGCAGTAAAGACCTTGGTCTTTATGCGACAAAACAAGCCAGTGAAACTGGTCAAGGTGAGTCTTTACCTGATCAAAATCAGAATTCGATGCATATAATATAGGCTGAATATCGTTGATAACAGGAGAGCGATTTTTTCTTCATCTAAGGTTAATGTAGGCAATATAGCAGTAGAAGCAGAAGCTTCGGCATTACAACTATTATTATCTGTAGTTGTTGTAGGTAAATTTCTCGAGTGAGCAATCTGAAGCCTTGGTTTCTTTGTGAAAAATGAATCTAGTTTTTTAAATGAACCACCACCTATATTACGTTTCAACCCACCACTGCCATCTCCTTTTCCCTTTGTCACCCTGCAAGCAAGAACATGCAAATTTCACACCACACAACAGACAACATACTTTTGTAATTACATATTTATTGTAAGTATATAAAAACAACCAGACTCAAGCCAAAACCATTATTCATCCCGTAATATTAGCGGGACGAGGCTTGAACCCGCGATTCCGTCGGTTAGTTACCAGAAATCCCACCATTATATCAAAGGAGCAGAGTTATTTTTAATTATTAGTAGTCTCGGCAATTAGCACTTTTAACGAATAAAAGTAATACTTAAATCGAATAGTTATTAGGTACATTAAACAATACTTTAGGTATCTTATCCTTTAAAATTGATCTAGCTAGGTTTCATTTTTACAATTCGAATATGACGGTAAATTTCGCCGCAAAAAAAATGTTATAATAGCTCGGTCGGTAATCGGGCGGCCTCAAAACAGACGGCCGCGGTTCACGATCATTTACACACTTATTTTTTTACTTTTTTTTCTATACCAGATCATTGCTTTTTTATTTCCAAAATACATGATTTACCAAAGCTCGGTCCTCCAGGTAATAGTGCTAAAACAAGTAAAACCGTTTTAGCTTCTTTGATATTTTATAGTTTTCAAAAATCTGTAATATATACATAAACTAAAAAGTAGTAGGTAGGTAATAAAGATTTATATTTACTTGTTGTAAACTCTCTTTTCAGTTTTCAATTAAAATAATAAAACTTTGCCGGACTTTCTTAGTAAAAATAACAAGTTTAAAATAAGTGACCGGAGAATGTTTGTTGATTCATTCTTTAGTGATATTTCTCAATCGCTTAAATTTTTTAAAATGCAATATGCACTCGTTAATTTGCCAAAATTATTTAGGTATAGGCAGGTACATAAGTCACACTTTTTCTTTACTCCTATATACGAGGTAAGAACAATAGCAATAAAATTTGAGTTTGAACACACACACACTGGCATAGCGAAGAAACTATGTACTATTGCCATCATACAAACTATGTACTACTTGGTATGTACTTATGTACTATTATATTAAATTAATGAAATATTGAAGGTAGATACATAATATTTTAATAGTGACGAAAAATGTATAAAAAATTATGTTTAACCTAGAAACTGGACCCAGCCCAGGGGGTCAAGACCCCCCCCCCCCCCCCCCCCCCCCCCCCCCTCTGGATTCGCCCTTATATGTAGAATGCTTAAAAATTTTAATTCTTGCTTTTTCACTGTTATAATCAATGCACCTACCTTTCTCTAAACCGCCCCAAGGTTGACTGACAAATAGTTATGATGGCTTTAAGTTTACATATTATGCATAAAGAATAAATAAGTAAATCAATAAATAATTGTTCCCACCTTTCCGTAACGAAATTGACTCTTGCTTCTTTTATCGCCAATAAGAGCATGTCAAATTTAACGGCTCGCTTAGCACAGATTCTATATACCACTTTCGAAATTTTAAATATAATACTGCTTAGTAATGTAGTCAAATGCCTTCTATTTCTGTATATTATTTATCCAAATGCCTTCTATTTAAATTTAATGTTTGCGGCTATGGACGATAAACAGGACAATAGAATAAAGTTTATGTTTTTATAAAAAATGTCGTTTACAAACTTCTTATAAAGAATATATAACAGTGCCATCTATTGATAATTTGTTCAAATGAAAGATAGCGAAATCTTCAACATCAGAAAAGCCTTCATTGATAAATACATATTTGCACATTTTATATTACCCGTCTACGACTGACCTCTGATCAGTGGTTGGGTAGGGTCGTGCCACATGCACTCATCTGTGCGTCATTTACGGTGGGGAATGTAACCTACGGGGTTACCCCCTAAATAAACCTTATTGGGTGTGTTTCACTATATGAGGTCGGTTAGATGTACCACCAATGGGTATGAGTTTGATGCTCGGGCATGATGTTTGGGTACAGTGTTATTAGGGAGGACCAATGGTCCAAACCGAATACGTATGTTATTAAGCTCGTTGTAACGGCCTATTTAATATAAAAATAAAGAATTATTATTATGGGGGGATATTCATTTGTTTCCTCGTCTGGTTGGGTTTATAAATAAAAATATAGATACATATTGCATATATAAAATAAATATTATGAATAAAAATAAACATACTTATAAAAATATTTTATATAATACATATGTAAATAGGAGCCAACCAGACGGAAGCCCTCGGCAGGGGAGACCAAACGGCCGAGGGTTAGGGCGATAGGGAGAGAAACCGGCGGACGATGCGGGCGGTATCGAGGAGCACCGCTTTCTGCATTTGAGCTTGGAGCGATCCGTCCCGGAGTCCCAGTCGCCTCAGATGTTTTGGGAGGCTGACTGGGATTAACCCATTCGCAGACACGACTATCGGGATAATTTCGGCCGGCACACCACCCCACATGTCGGTCACCTCGTGAGCCAGGTCCAGATACTTTGTCTTCTTATCTGTTTCGGCTTTCACGAGGTTCTCGTCATATGGAATGGTAATGTCGACCAAAAATACCCGCGACTGTGCCCGGTCCATCACCACGATGTCAGGTTATTATATTATTATTTACATGCCACTGCTGAGTAAAGCCTTCCTCTGTACAGAGGGTATTAAGGTAAAGTCCACCACTAGATCACTGCCAATCGTTTTTTAAATTATTTTATATCTCCTAAAATATGCAGGTTTCCTGACGATGTTTTCTTTCACAACTACTACTGCAAACTACAAACTGTTATTATCAATTTCAATGGTTATATTGACCATGATTTGAACTCAGGTAGCTCGAGTTAATTAGTTATAATGTTATAAGGAGTTATAATGGAAGCTCGTCGAAATGTGAATAACTACCGAACTCGAATAACTACGATGCGAAGTTTACTTAAATGTTTGATATACTATATTGAATACAAATACGTTTTCCTCCACTAAACAGAATTTGGAGGCGCTACTCTACTTTGTGCAATATTTTTTGGATTTCACGCAGGCCGGATGGATTTCACGCAGGAAAAATATTCACAAACTTACCTCAAATTCCTAGCGGTAAACAATCGATTCGAAGCACGTATAATTTACGCGTTCAATAATTTTCTAAATGTGAATGTTGTTATTATTATAACATACAGTCGGTGCAGTATAAATACTGTACAGAAAGAATGGCTAACGTGATTTTAATTCATACTCTCGTCGTCCCATTAACCTGTAACTATGAAGGTTTGCCCGTTGCTGATAATATTCACATTCCTGATGACCGTCTATTTCGCTGCAGCTGAAGTAAGTGAACGGAAACACTTTTTTCTTAAATTTGCTTTTCATTTAGTTAAATTTTATTTCATTAATCTATTTTCCCATATAATTATGTGTGCCCAGTATTTATATCATGTACATTACAAAATCTAATCTCATTTCAAAAATCATTCTTATATAATGGACATACGTAACATTTGCAAGTATGTACTGAGAAGTAACAATATTTTCAAACGGTCAATATTTTTAAACGGTTTTATTTAGCTCGACCCGTACGGAATTTGTTTGTTTGGGCCAAAATTAGAAATTGAAAATGAAATTTAAGCACCTTGCCGTTGTCAGATTGATCTGAAATTTGGTACTCACATTTAATTTAGATGACAATACAATATTAACAAAAAAAATTTAACAAAAAAAAAAAACATAGAATAAAACCGTTTAACTTAAAAGTTTTTAAACGGTTTTATTATTTCTTTAAACAAATGATGTCGTGCTTGCCCATCCCATTAGTGCAACACCATAAGCAGACGCGTGGTCACGCCACAAATTGGTATATTCGCAAATATTTCTACATAATATGAATAATATAACATTTTAGTAGACTAACTGATTATTTACAGGTGCGAAATTATTATAATGGGCTACCGAGGGGTGTCAACAGATTGAAGCAAGAGATGTTGAGGAAAGCAAGGAGATTTGAGGTAAGGGAAGATTACGTAAGTTACTTACGATAGACATATTCGATTATTTGAACCACAAGTTTATTCAAAAATTTATCTTTCCTCTTACTTGTCAATGTTAACTGTTGACATAACATTCCAAGTTGTTTATTTAAAAAAAAAAATCTAATCTACCTTACCTTACAGTGGCATGAAATAATAGGATACTCAAAGTAGGGCGTGACTGACAATTGTATGTATGGAGACACTCTAATTATGCAAAAGTATGCTGTACTATGCGCGTCTTAACTAAAATTTAACTCATATGCCTCCACGCGAAAACGTTTGCGGAACTTAAGGTTATCTTAATTTTAAGTTGAAGTTTCTTTAAATATGATTTAGGAGGTTATAAAACATTAGTAATAATGGTATTCAAAAAAAATTAAAAAGCTCTTGCCGGCGCATCAAAAGCATGGCTATGAAATGAAGTAGGATACTCAAAGTAGACTGAACTACGTGACCGCGACACATTGTATGTATGGAGACACACTAATTTGTATGTCTATATATGGATAGTTACCCCCCCATATTATTTGCCTCTTACCTTAGTAAAAGAATTCAAAAAGTATCAATAAATGATATTAATTCCGCTGGGACCCCTATGAAAATGGGTGTCCCACAAGGATCAATCTTGGACCCATTATTACTTTTAGTATATATTTATGATCTCCCCTTTTATGCCAGTGAGTTGTGTGATGTTGTACTGTTTGCTGACGATACATCATTAATTTTTAAAGTTGACCGAAATGTATTAAATTATGACGAGATGAATAGTGCACTTTCGCATATCCTCCACTGGTTTACTATCAATAATGTGGTATTAAATGCAAAAAAAAACTAGATGTGTTCTATTTACTCTTCCCAGTATTAGTCGGCAAAGTTTTAGTTTAATATTAAATAAAGTACCCATTAATCCAGTTGCTGAGTCTGCTGTATTTCTGGGAATTACAGTAGATTCAAAGCTCCAGTGGAGTCCCCATGTATCATCTGTTGCGAATAGGCTAAGCTCCGCGGTTTTTGCGATTAGAAGGGTTAGGCAGCTAACAGACATTGACACTGCCAGACTTGTTTACTTCAGCTATTTTCACTTCTTGTCATCTTGTCATACGGCATTTTGTTGTGGGGTAGTGCATCCGATATGAATTCTATATTTATTCTACAAAAAAGAGCTGTCCGAGCAATCTATAACATCGGAGCCCCGAGTTCGCTCAGAGATATTTTTAAAGAGATTAATATACTCACTGTCGCTTCTCAATACATTTATTGTAATGTTTTGTATATTCGTCATAACCTTAGTTTTTACCTAAAGAATAGTGACAGACATAAATTAAACACTAGAAATAAGGACAAACTTACTACGCCATTGTTTCGCCTACAAAAAGTAAATAGGGCAAGTTCAGTTCATGGGGCAAGGTGTGCGCATGTATAATAAAATCCCACAGTCGATGTTAAGTCTGCCGCTTGATCAATTTAAACGTAAAATCAAAAGTCAACTTATGGTTAAAGCATATTACACTATTGCGGAATATCTCGACGACGCCAATGTGTGGAGTTAATACTGTTGATACTCACGTAGGGTAGACTAAGACTATTATACCGGTATTTTAAATTGTAAACTGCTATCTTTGAAAGAGAGCAACTGTTGACTTTTTTGCCGGTCTCTTCTCAATAGAAACTGCTTTCCGAACCTTACGAACCCCTATGTATAATTTTTTATGTAAAATTTGACGATTCATAAGAACGCGCAAGCGTCTATTTGAATAAAGATTTTTGATTGAAAAAAAAAAAAAAATTAAGAACAAAATTTTTTTTTACATTATCCTGCATTTTTGTAAAAATAAGACTAGTGTAGAGCGCGGCATGTTATAAAGACTTGACAGTCTATCACCAGTTCTAAGCTTTGTTAGATGTATAGCTAAACATGTTTTTCCTTAGTAAAACATTGCCAAGTACTGGTATTTCATTATAGTGTTAAAAACTCTAATACACTTAAACCAGTCCAATGGTAACGAATGTCTGCCTGATCTGGCATCTCAATAACATTCTCAAAATCATATAATTTTGCATTTCATTCTAAGATTTTAATTAAATCCTCTATATGTTTAGCTGTAAAGCTGTTTGTTAAATTGCTGTTATCATTCAATTTTGCCCATTCATTGGCATATAAATGTGAATTACAGATACGTGCACTAACTGGCACATATATGTGATAATGCTTGAGAAGCATGACCTTTAAAATTGAAGGAATTAGGTGCCCAGATTGATTAGCACAGGTTTGAAAAATACAATGCCTTGAAGTATTCACTGCACGTTTATAATGGGGCAGAACAATAAATCTATTGTCAGATACTTTTGGAACCTGTTGCTCTTGAGATGAAGAACTATCTCCATCACCTCCACCACTACCTAGTGGTAGAGGTAGTGGTGGAGGTAGAGGTAGTGGTGGTGGTAGAGGTAGTGGTGGAGGTGTTGGCATTGCTTCTATAGGTGCTGACAATTGATGAGGATCAACTTGTTGATATTCGCTTTCAGTGTAGTCATCTGTGTCTGATTGAACTCTTAAAGCATTATGTGATAGCAGGCGATTAGCACGCATCCAACACAGATGGCAAACACTTGCGTCTCTGGATATCACCTGCAAATAATAAAATGAAACATTTGAATTAAAATACTGTCTTTCTGACTGAAACTATGCAATCACCTAGTCATTTGGGCAGGAGACATTATAATGTTCAAGTGCACATGGATGAGAGTAGTAAGTTTGATCCCAGGCAAGCACTTCTGACTTTATAGCATTTTAATTAAATAAATATCATTAGCTTAAATAGTGGAAGGAAACATTGTAAGGAAATCTGTATAACTAAGAGTTCACTAAAATGTTTCAAAGACATGTGAAGTCTACCAATCTGCACTTCACCCGCATGTGTTAGTTGGAGGTGATTAGTTTATAATGTTGATAATGATGGAGCATATATCAAGAGAAGAACCTACAGCTTTATATGCTCCAAACATGATGGACTATTGCATACGGAGTGTATGCTAGCAATTTAACCCAGCACGAGCCTTACACTTGGTTGGAGGGAAAAGAATCCTTCTATTAATTGTGTGAAAATGTTGCTTAGTACCCTTAAAAACAGGAGAAACAATCAATGGTAGTTATGGCGGCCTCAATGCTACTTCAGTTGGTTAAATAAAATACTGACCTCATTTTGTGAATCCCATGAAAGAATAATAGTTATTAATGGATGATTGGCTTCAAGTATGTGATGTCTCACACGTCTCCTAGTTTCCAAGAGAGATCTGCCACATCCTACACAAACACGAGTGTGACCAAGTTCCCTTTCTGCATTCATATTTCCATTTCTACAGTGAGAACTTAGTTGCATGAAGCACTCTTGACAGATAAAAGCTTCTGATGGAATCTAAAAGATAAATAAACAAACACATTCACGGTAGTAGGGCCATGAAGCAGCCTCGGCTGTTGCACAAATGGGCAGACTCGTCCGGGTAAGTACCACAACCACACAGAAGACCGGCGTAAAGTGGAAGTATAATACTTTCGTGTTTCGTCTGGTGAGGGAGGTGGCTGGAGCCCAATTTTCAAATGGTTGTCAACGCATTTGGAGCCCTTGGGTGTAGCAGATGTCTTTGACTAACATCACGTGAAGCGTCTGCTCGTTTGGCAACTTTCCACATAAAAAAACATTAATTGATTTGCTAATTTAACTATAACTAGTTGACACACGACAGCTTCGCCTGGGTGGAGTTAGGTACATATGGTACATTATTTTGAAGACTTTGTTTTCTACTATGTAAAGATGATACTAGTTATATCGTGGTAGAAAGTTAACTATAAATAATTATAACTTAAACATACCTGTTGCAACGTTGTCCATGTTGAGAGCAGAGTTTGCATTGTTGACTCTAAGGAAGACACAGCATGTCTTAGCATCCTGTTTATATTCAAGTGACAATTAATACACCTCAACATCGTTATCCAAATCGCAAGAAATTTTCAAAATCCGTTGAAAGTAGCGCAAAAGTTGGCGAGTAGGCGAGATCGAATCCGTATGGTATAACAAAAGTCGTCGGTAAGTAAAATCAAAAACATTCAAAAAAGCACGGTAAACAGTCAACGCCACACAAATCACCACGGAACAAAAACAAAGTTTTGTTTGACTTATGAAGGCAATTGGCATTGACATTGACATTTATGATTATGACGTTCACAATTGACTAAGTAATTGATTAATAACTTTCATTATAATACTAATAATAAAATAATAAAATATCTTTTATTCACATAGACGCTTCCGCGTTCTTATGAAACGTCAAAATTTTACAAGAAATTAACACGTTCGTAAGTTACCACCGGTTCGGAAAGCAGTTTCTGTTGAGAAGAAACCGGCAAGAAACTCAACAGTTGCTCTTTTTAAAAAAATCAGTTTACAATATAATAGTACAGGTACAATAGTCTTGTTTTAGCCTACGTGAGTATCAACAGTATTAACCCCACACATTGGCGTCGTCAAGATATTCGGCAATAGAATAATAGGCTTTAGCCTTAAGTTTACTTTTAATTTTTCGTTTAAATTCATCAAGTGGCAGACTTAATATTGACTGAGGGATTTTATTATACATGCGCACACTTTGCCCCATGAACGACCTGTTTACTTTTTGTAGACGAAACAATGGCGTAGTTAGTTTGTCCTTATTTCTAGTATTTAGTTTATGTCTGTCACTATTCTTTAGATAACTATTAATATTATGTTTAACATACAAAATATTACAATAAATATATTGAGACGCAACAGTGAGTATATTAATCTCTTTAAAAAGGTCTCTGAGTGTATTCCGGGCTCCGATGTTATAGATTGCTCGGACAGCTCTTTTTTGAAGAAGATTAAGTCATTAAAATAATTATGTATGATTTACGATAATGAACTACATATAATAATATAATTTAAACAAATATCTTTATTTTGACGTATTCAACAGGATATTTTTGTTTTTCTTTTACTACCAAGTAACAACTTTTTATTAATCGTTTGTGTGTAGAAAGAAATGCAAATGTCCACCTGCGAAATAGAAAAGCCGACAAGAAGGGTTGAGTTACTTTTTTTTAATTAGCAAGTTTTTTATTATTTTATATCATATTATATTCATTACATTATTTTTGAATATTTATATTTTTTGTAAATGATGAGGATTTTTTTTGGCTGGATGAGCCACTGTTGGCCTTAGGGGCTTTCACAGTTCCGACGAACTTGAGGTGGCCCGGCGCACGTGGCGACTAGCCTGAACCTCGGCGTATTATTATTACGCGTTATGGAGACTAAGCTCGAGGGCTTCCGAGGGAGCCTCGGCTCGGGCCGTCAAGCTACTATTATCACCGGTTTGGGAGGCCGCCAAGCTCTTAGGACGCTTTGGCGGGCGCTCCATGGAGTGATCAGGCTCAAGGGTCCCCGAGAGGGGACCTCGGCTTGGGCTGGGCGGCTTGGGCGGCTCGATCGGTAGTTATTTTGTCTGACGGGGGCAGAATCTGGCATAGTCCTTGTTATTGCTCTATGTATCCCCCCCCAAACTGTAGGTCATGTTTTTGTACGATCGTTTTTACCTTGATCCTAATATTTTAACTATTACTGAACTTCAATATTAACAACTATTATAACGACAAGCAGCACTAGTGGTTATATCACCGTCCGGGAACGCAGCCGAAATCCAAGTGACCACTTCTCCATGCGACCATGTGTTCCTTAGCTCGAGTAGATAACGTCATATCCGGTAAACAGTGTTGCCAGCGCCAACAGATATTACAGCACCTGATTTCTTCATTATTGGGTTTTGAAAGGTTTTGAAAGTATAACGTTCAATGATCATAACTGTTAACCTTTTCTGTAATTCATTATTGTACTAAGTATCATTATTAAAGATTTTGTTTGATTAAAACCCAACCCTCTGGTGATAAGCACAGCAAGTTACCAACCTGATCCAAACGCCAACGTCAACAAGCGTCGTCCGCGAATCGTCCTCATCGACCCGGTCGAGGAAGGGGACTTAGGTACGTCGGACCCACTGTCGGGGGTCCCGCCGGATAAAAGTGCACATACAGTTAGTGTAGCAACAAACACATTAGTTCGAGCACGGGGAGACCAACGCAACGCGTACACAAGGTACACCCGCGTTCCAGGACAGTTCTCACCGCCCCCAGCTACCGATTAGCTAAAAACACAGTCGACGGCCATCGGCGTCTCTGTTCATACCGCAAAGTCGATGGCCCTTAGATGACATGCTGTAGTTAAACGCGCGCATGTGCGCGGCCCTACCCACAGCGGAGTGCCCAAACCCGAGGGTTCTGGTTAGCCCACCGGTTCTGCGTCAGATGAAGCTTTAATAGTCTCGGGGACTGAAAGCTTAAACATTAGGTAATACAAGATACACGTTTGATTAAAAGCAAGTACCGCATTGGTAAATGTATCACATGTTATTAGGTGCTTGATGAATCAATTGTTTTCGACTTTCGACCAAAATATTAGGGTAGTGAGACCTCTTTAATGATACATTAAAGTGTTAAATGTTTTCAATTCATTACTTGCAGAATTGTGATCCATACAGCGGCCCATGCAGACGAGCTTATTGGGTATGGGAACTACTTTAATATTCTTCTTCCGTGCTTAAGTATAAAGTAATTTACTCTTATATAACTCACATGAACGCATGTTTCAATTTTGTTAAGAATGAAAGGGATGAAAGGTGTTCAATAAATTGCATGTCAATTTTGCTTTAAGCTTGGAATAAGAATTTCAGATATTAACCTATCAACTTTTGTGAGGTCAATAGTACCAAAGAGTGTATTGATTATAGACTAATTAGTTGTAAGTTGTCTTTATATATTATAAACCCACGTTTATCTGTTTTAAATTCCAGGGTACAATGAATGATTAAGCTACGGTAAGAGATATAGCGTTGATTTATTGTTTTTACACGAATATTTTATATTGTTAAATGAAACTATTTTACGTTACTATTTTAGATTACCTTTAATTGAATTTTTAAAGTTCCAACATTTCGAACCCTCTCATGGCCATAGGACAGACTGTTAAATAATAAAATTAGTGATTTTTTTATACAAAGAATATGTTTTACATTAAAACTCTGTACCTACTTATTTATCCGTATATTTTTTCTTTATTTAATAATAACTTAAGTAATTTGCTGTACTCCCTATATCCTCTTAATATTTTCTTCTATAAAAGTGCCATATGATAACTTTCTTAGCTATTTTAATAAATTATATTACATGTAATAATTATTATATACTACATATTTTCCTCATTGCAGAGCGAGCTGTATTTACATGGGTACATCAAATTCGTGGAAGTTGAAAGTTCTTCAAAATTTCAAAAACGTTTCATTATTATAATATAAAGACTCATGCAATTACATTGTTTTATTTGTTCCCTTTGTGTGTGTAACAGTGCAACGTTCGGCCAGTCTTAAAAGATAGAAGAAGCATGATCAGATGCATTGCACATCATATCCTCTAAAGGCCGGTTTTAATATTCTATCTACAGGTAGATTTGATTATTGGTGATAGAATTTTGACGTTAGTATTATGGAGCCATCAGCAAAGTTTTTTCTGTAAACATCGCATAAACTTACGGTGAATAGCCTATTCATTGTCAATATCGTAGCTATATCCTATTAAAATGTTGTTGTTGAGGATACGAATATAGAGAAGGCCTTTTCGGAGTTTCCTCTAATTTTGTATTAGGGATACATATCTACTGATCGTAGCTAGGGAAGATGATTGGATGACTGTGGCGCAGTTTCCAAGGTATTGGATGCAGCATCGGGGGTCGTGGGTTCGATTCCCACATGAGACAACTATTCGTTTGACCCACAGATAGTTGTTTCGCATCTGGGTGTTTGTCCGTGTGTCTGTCTGTTAATTTATGTCTGTAAAACGTCCTTAAACACAGGATAATGTTATCCTATGTTATCCTATCCTAAAGTAAGGGCAATGTTTTAAAAATAATAATAATAATAATAAGCAGAAGAATAAGAAGAATATTTCAATAGAGTTCGTTTATTGTTTAAAAGCAATCTCATCAGTAAGAATCTCTTCAAATCCATAAACACATTCGCAATACCAATATTGACATATTATTTTGGCATTATTAAATGGTCTATATCAGAATTACAAGCCTTAGAAATGAAAACCAAAACTACGCTTACCCAATACCGCTATCACCATCCTAAATCTGCAATAGAGCGCACAACATTACAAAGAAAAGATGGTGGGAGGGGCCTTATAGATATAATTATGCTACATAGTAAACAATTATACGGATTAAAAAAGTTTTTCAATATCAAAAAATCATCGAGCCTGTTACACGATACGATCTGTACAATAGATAAATGTTATACACCTCTGAATCTTAATCAGGAAAATATACAAGAAATTGATGAAAAACAATATTACCACGACAAATGCAATAGATGGAGTAGAAAGGAGCTTCACGGTCGACACCCCAATGATCTCAACCAACCATTTATAGATAGGGAAGCTTCAAATAAGTGGCTAGATTACGCAGGCTTGTTTCCCGAAACGGAAGGTTTTATAATTGCAATACAGAATCAAGTTATCAACACACGGAATTACAGAAAATACATTATTAAAGATAGAACACTACAATCAGATACATGCCGCAAATGTCTTAATAAGCCTGAAACCATTCAACACATAACAGGAGCTTGCACAACTTTAAACCAAAACGACTACACCCACCGTCATAACCTAGCTTTAGCTAACATATTACATCAAAAACTTGCAATCAAACAAGCTTTGACCTCATCAAAGATAGAACCACACCATACTACAAATACAACCCTCAACATGTGCTTGAAAGTCCAACTCATAAACTGTACTTTGACCGCACCATTCTTACTGATCACACCATCCACAATAACCGCCCAGACATCACGCTCGTAGACAAACTAAGTAAACATGCATACATCATAGACATAGGTGTCCCAAACACAAACAACATACAATCAACCATCACCGAAAAAATAAGAAAATACACCGAATTACAGGAAGAGATAATAAGAGTCTGGAAATTGGACAGAGTTTCTATAATACCTATAATCTTATCCACTACAGGCGTTATACCTACCTAAAGCCTTGCATAACTCTCTTAAATTACTAGATCTACCTAAACACACATACATAACTTTACAAAAAGCTGCCATACTTAACACGTGCCGCACCGTTCGAAAATTTCTTCAACTTAGCTCTGATAACGAATATTCAGCCCCACAATTTAGGTTACCAACCAACCAAATTTAAGTTAACACTTTGTTAAAGCCCGTGTTAACTTAATATCACCAGATCATACCTGAGAGAAATAAATGAACCACATAATAATAATAATATTAAAATAACTGAAAATAAAAATAAAAAAAATCTGGTTGGGTCATAAATATTTATATGTTAATGTTTATTTATAAACCAACCCAGATGAGGAAAGAACTAAATATCCCCATAATAATAAAATAAATAATTTTAATGCTTTGGTTTAGTTCTTTCACTGGCAAAAGGTTTTGATATGAAAATAGTGTATGATTAATTGCATTAGGAATTAGGGAACAATGCAATCATGATCTTTTACAAACTTTACAGTTTCATACCTTGTATGAATCGAAACGAAATTTTTAACCCTAAACAATTGTAATTTAGTTTTTTATATACGCAAACAAACCAATACTACATTAGAGATCATTTTGGAACATAATACGATATATTTGAATATTAGAAGATAAAATTTGTAAGTCTACAAACTTTTCTGTGAGTAAAAATTTTATTGCTTTAAATATTATAATATATTAACAGAAACAAAACAGATATTGCTTCTGCGAACAAACAAAAAAAATATGAGCCGCATTGTGTTAAGCAATTAACGGCATTGTTTTATCTCAACGATGGGATTGTGGAATACGATCGGTGATACTTGAATTCTTTTTGTTTGATGGCGAAGACAGCTTATTGTTTTTTTTTTACATTTAAATAGTTTGTAGAAGGAAATTTGCTCTACTTACATTGACACTCATGCTTGTTACATGTTGTGTTTTATGTGAGAAAGTAAACGACCTGGTGGATCACCTGATGTTAAATGATAACCTTTTTGAGTCATCCTAGTGTTTATTCGTGCGACCTTATCTTTACATTGTTCTAAATTTACTTAAAAACGGTTGGAATTCCTCTTGACGGACCGCTTTTAAACTTTGCAACGATGAGATGTTTACTTGTACAAATGATTTTGTTTAGAAATGAATGCTCACCGAAATGTAAGCATTAGTCATGGCGTGTTGAACTTTCAATATAAATGCAAATCCAGAGGAGAATCGACCAATGTGATTTAAAGTGTCTAAAATAGAGAGGAATCACACTAAAATAGAGAGAGTAGACAATAACTATATTCAAATCTTTTATTTTAACGGTAATAAATTACAGACTAAATATGGCGCCATTTATGCGTTGAGTAATTAAACTTAACTTTACGCTATTTAAATGAATGTATTTAAATGTAAAAACGTTGAGTAATTAAACTTCATTTTACGCTATATAAATCAGTTTTAGTTAATGGTAAAACGTTAACATTTTACCCTATTCTTTCTAATTATTTTTTGTTAATGAATTAGTAATCGTAAGAAAATCTTATTGTGGATTGTTATTTATGAATAAAAAAAAAACAGTAGACTAATATTTAAATCCCAAAACGCTGATATATTTATTTAGCTTACAGAGACAAATCACACGCAGAGTAAAATGACGAAATTTTTAATTGAATCGAGCCCGCTAATAACGGCAACAGTTAATGCCCAAGCAAATCCGTTAGGGAGAATTGATTGGCCATAAAAGGCAAACCGAGGCAACGTTCTAACGTAATCTGAGTATATAAATGGATAAAACTCTCATTGTATCAATCAAGAATAAATATATTTGTCCGTTATTTGCATTGGTGCTTCTAAACGGCCATGTATCGGATAATAGGGTATTATTGCTTTTTATTTATTATTAATGATAAAGATAACGTTTTTATTTTACTGTAACAACCTTTTCTCTGCGACATACTAAATTATCAGAACTGTAGGGCTCTAACGGGATTTCATTATTTACTTGCCGTAGGTAATATCTGGCTACTCCAAAAAAGTCAAGTTTAAGAGAGATTAGGTACTGAATTAAGTTTTATCTTCGGAATAGCATTGTTCAAAAGAAATAATGGGGCCAATTAACTCGATATAAAAAGCACCTGTCATTGAAAATCACTTCAATAGACCAAATTACATGTACGATACTTCATGCATTGTCATGATTTATCACATAAACGGGGCCTATTCTTAAAGGTCGGCAACCCATCGCAATCCTACTGGCGTATATGACCATAAGTTCTTGTTCTATGTAAAGGTGACAACGAGCATGCTGGTCACCTGATGTTAAGTTTTCGCGGTCTGGAAATATCGCTGATGACAAATTCCATAAAGTACTGCCCGTTGTGCGCAAATACGGGATTAACCATCGTCCTTGTGAGACTAACTTACGCAATGTAATCGTTTATCTACGTATTTTTCCGCCAATCTGTTCATCGTTTATCCGTTACTATGAGTACTAATCATTTCAATAAACTTTTCACACAAAAACGCGCGCTTTAAAATCAATTAAATTTAATCGGATGTTGAGCGAAATAAGATATGAAATAAGTGATAGGAAAATCATATGAAGCTAAATTGATTCCAAGCTACAACAAATTGAATGAAATTCTCAAGGCACACTTATTTGCTGCAAATTTTGTAATTTATAATTCTCAAAAGATTTCAGAATAAGAAAACACAACGCTCAACTTCACTAAAGTTTTTATTTGTTTATTAATTCGAGAAAC